TAAGATAACAACTACTTCTATAATAGGCTGTAACTCCACCAAGGTAACAACCACTTCTATAACAGACTGTAACTCCACCAATACTGGTACTGAGTAGACATTCAATACACCATTGGAAGGCTGGCATTGAGTAGAATCAGAATGTAGAGTATTGGATACTATACCGAAAAGATACCTAAGAAATCTCACAGCAAAGCTAGTACTTAACTAGAACCTCGCTAACTGGCACAGTACGTACTGGTAAAGAAAACAACAAAGTCTGGAATGCAAGAGAGGTGGTAGGTAGAAGCCCATACTAGGGAAGGTGGTATGGGAGATACTGGTAGGAGGAGAGCTAGTAGGAAGGAGCTGGTAGGGGGAAGCTAGTAGGATGGAAGCTAGCTGGAGGGTGGTACGAGGAGAGAAGCTAGCAACTGTATTTATCACTTGGAATCTCAGGATAGCAACTACTTGGTATTACTTACTTAGAATATACAGAATACAATCAAACTTGATATCCAGATACTGAACGCATAGGATGCAACCAGACTTGGTCTTTAAGTACCAAATACATACGACATACTAGATGCAAAACCCTCCCTACTTGTATTAGGATACACTGCCCATGCCTCTGAGGCAGAAATAACTTTTTGTCAATATAAGGTATTATAAAAAATTAAAAATCATACTTCAGTTCAAATATATAGTCTTTCAATATCAATTAACTAAGATACTAGAGTATTAATATTACTTTTTAATTTGCAACTACTCTGTTTTGAACAATCACTAAAGCATTTAAAACTTTTACATTTAGCTTACTCCTTTTTTCTCTATTCTTATATGGGTTAAAAAGGTAGCAGTTAAAAAAAATTTCAAAATTTTAAAAGTTATTCTACTCATTTAAATTAATAAATTTCTAAATAGAAAATAAGATACTATGGTATAACACCTAAAGAGTATAAACCATATAGCACAGCAAAAATGTAACCGTAGCTGTACAATATAACTTTCAAGACCTTAAGTAATAAGATTATAAACTGAAGTAAATAATATAATAAGAAGTGAAAGATATTAAAGTACATTAATTAAATATAATAGATTGAGAGTTTTATACTCTCTGATTGCTCTAATATGTTTTTACAACTGTTCTTAAAGTCTAACATACTATAAGAAATACTTTTCCAATATACTCATATCATTGAAAATGGCTTTAGAATATCACTATTTATTTGTTAGTTTTTGACAAGTCTATCTATCTCTATAGTATCTGGTTAGTTAGCCTTTTCAAATTGCATTCCAATGGCAAGGCCTCAATCTTACACTAGACCTTCAGATTTTCAAATGAGTATACCATTCTCTTCAGTTGCCTCTACTAATACAAAAAACTATACTTTTATTCAAATCCTCTTTGCCCACATTAGTACAGTTTTTTTACATGATTTGAACTAGTATGAGGTTAGTTATACCACCTTGAACACACCCCTAAATGAGGTTCACACTTATCCATTACTGTACTATATTTTCTTAAGTGTAGTCTATAATATTTATTTTTTTCTAATAGTAAATAATAGTTATTTCAGTAACTTCTAGTAGGTTCTAGGCCTAGGAATTAGCAATTAAATAAATTTCTAGTAAAATACCAAATTCAGAAAATGTGTTTTCTTAGAGATTAAAATGATATAGTATAAATAGAATGTAATACTATTGGTAAGTTGTCCTAAATTAAACTATAATTCCAGCACTTAAGAATTGAAGAAAGAATGTAGTATTTAGTCCTAGAAGACTAGAGTAATATGAATAAGAATAGATAATAGTAGTTTCTTAAAAGTAATAAGGAAAACTTAAATATTAGAGAAGGATGTATTGAACTCTTATAAGTAATAAAAACTATCCAGTATTGAGTAATACTTATTTTATTATTTGAATTTTATAAAAAGATATATTAAAAATAGGTTTAAGATCATACTCTCTTATTATAATAGTAATTACTAGTAAGTTTACTTGATTGATACTATTTTATTAAAAAGAATAAATATTTTCTGCATGGCCAATAACCTAAATTTTTCCTTTATCTGTTTTAGTTTTATTGATCCTATTCTTCTTATAATTGTTTCTCTTTTACTAAATCTATATTGAATGACTCTGACTAGTTAATAAAAACTAATATACTTTTATTAAAATAATACTAGTCTTCTTATAAGAAGTAGCTAGCTGCTCTGTAAGATATTTATATTGGATTGTGAGAGCTGCTTGATTAATATTATCATATAGTTTATGTATTTAGAATCTATAAATAATATTATTGTACCAATTTTAGAAATAAATATATAAACCTTTCATGTTACTTTCCTATGTCAACTCCCTACTACAATTATTAATTTTTCTTTTATGCTTTCCCTCCACTTCTGCTATTCCTCCCTGCTCCTTCACTTATGATATTTCTCTGCTGAGGTTATTACTCTCTCTACTTATACTATTCCTCTATTTATATTATTCTCATCAATCTCTATACATTCTTAACTTTATATATTTGCTACATATTAGAATAACTGAATATTTAAACTAGAAAGAAAAAGAAATACAAGAAAACAATACATTAATTTCCATACTCCTCCTTGATGCATTTACTAAAGCATAGGATAAAAAGATTTCCAGTATAAATCAAATCGTGTACCTTTCTCTGAAGATATAGTAGTATCAGCATATAGACCAAGTTGGATTACTTTTTGGAGTTTTGGACCTAGTATGAGCTAGGTTAGGATATTAGCCTTATTGGAAACTCTAGGTACTTGTCTGACTTGCAGTTCCACCTAGCTAATACACTTATAAATATAATAGAAACAGGTTTCAATATGTTTTATACATCAGTAGAAAGCAGGATTATTGCTCAAGTACTGAGCTCCAAGATTATCAGTAAGGATCATCAGGATATGTGGCTTGTCAAATTCTGCTACAGTCTTTCCAACCACATAGCCTCCTGTGCCACTGCATCTAAGGTCACATATTTACTTTCAGTGAAGGACAATGAGTCTGCCTCCTATCTCCTAGATGACCAACCTATTACAGTTGGTCCAAGACAAGAAACAGAACAAGATTGACTGCGACCACTTTCTCCTCCATGGTTTGAATCAGCAAATACTGTAAGGGATGATCCTGCATGTAAGGTATGACTTTTTGTTTTTCATACTGAAGAAGTCATAAGGCTGCGGCCCCGTGGCATTCAGCTGTGCCAGAATTTTCGGCAGGAGATATGAGATACATCAAGGCACATGATATCCGGCCGGGTCATCTGTGCTATGTATAAGATTCTGCCAATCAGTGATTGGTATTTGGTCGCTGTTACAGTCTCCTCTTCAGGATGGTTAATGCTGAAGTCAATGTCCGGACGAAACGGGAACGTTGAAGTTCTAGCCGTAGGGGGGGGGGTATCAAACAGCAGTGGCAGCAAGAATGTCATCCTAATATCACACCTGCTAAACTCCTACGAGCTAATACTGTTGCTGTAGTTATCATACCTGTGCCTGTCTGTCTGCATGGTTATCACATTCTCCTTCCTTTATATTCTACTCACAGGTACCGCACTGTACCCGTCAACACCCTCCTTCCCCCAAGGCGCCCTAACCAACCTAAGCGCAGATTGAAAACTATGCGAGATGTTCCCCACTCCGGAAGTTCATTGTATACTGGCCACTCTTGGAAACTACAATTAAATGGGTAGTTGCACATCGCGTAAGTTGACATCATCTCAGCGAATAGCCTTTTCTCCTTTCTAAAGATGGGGGCTACCCAGTCCGCTGAACGTTTAACTACCCACGTTAGTCACCAGTGCCTCCACTCCACTCTGCACGTTGAGCCGTAACTAACTTATGAGGGCATTAGAGCTGTCCCGCAGAGCAAAGGAATGACAATATCGAGAGAGAATGTGTGCAATGAGGGTGGTAGTCTAACAGTCCAGAACGAGAATCCCGCCGACCAAACAATAATCGTAATATCACTTCCATAGCAGTTCAGCACTCGTGCTAGAACACACACACACCACATCCCCGGAATTGGAGTTAAACCTTAAGAAATTCGCGGGGTGCGTTATTATTGTAAGAGTGACTGCTCCCCCCCCCTTCCCCTCTTCTGCACCATAATAACACCCTTTTACCATATCATAATTTGCCGATTTTCACGAGTGATATATGGTGATGCGTCCTATACTCGAGTCCTCTTGCCACGGCCATTACGATAATAACAATTGTGATGCCGTTACCCGTCTTCCGACCAGACTCTACTCTAACTCTGCTCTTCTCTGCTCTACTCTACTCCAGCAGGTACAGTAAAAGTCACAAATTAGTCACTTTTTTCATTTTTTTTTTTTCATCCATCCATCTATATATTTTATCTATCCAGCATACGCGAGTAGATCGCGACAATTCCTCAACCCCTCAGGGTTACAATGATTGATACCTTAGCACCCCTCCCCTCCCACTTCGACGAGTCCAGTCCAGCGCTACTATTACACGATGCCGGCAACCGGATCGGACCGGACCGCTCACCGGTGGCTCGGCATGATAGCACGATCTAGCACCCGACAAAGCGAGTATAGTACTGTGTAGTGCATAGTACTGCATACGGCTGTATGGCCCCGGCCCCACGGAACCAATCATCGATCACCTGACCAACCGATCAGACAAACAAACAGACAAACGCCAGCACGGCTGCACTACGGGAAGTTAGGTTGAGCTGGCTGGCTGGGCGGGCATATATGATACGACAAACACGGGTGTTCTACTAGCGTTGTGGCTGCGGGTTGGCTAGATATTTTTGGGTTGGAGCTCGAGTGATTGTTTGCGCTCCTAGGGTACGGTCGCGTTGATGGGATGTGGATCATGTGGTTTGGTTCTGAATTAGGGGAGGGCGTGGGTGGGGGGGGGACACGGGTTTTGGCTTAACCTTCTGGTGGAACGAAGGGTTTAGTCAAAGTGTTTGGTTGGTCGGCCCCACTGCTACTGTGGTGGTGTGTTTGGAAAATACGTGTTTAACTATCGTACCTGAGCTTACTACGATGTCTGTACTGCGCTGGATCGCACTCTAAATTCATCACTTTCTTGCTAAACCAAATCAACCAACAAGTAGAACACCAACATGATACACAGGACAAGCCACACACCAATCGAACACTCAAGCTTCCACCCCTCCCCCTCCTTCAACACCCCCCGTAAATCCTCCTCAACATCTCCCCCGCCATCCCCTCCTCATCCGGACTCTTCACCATCTGCCGGACCCTATTCCCGAACCCGCAATGCAGCCAAACCCCCTCATCCCCCAACAGCACGGGGTTTGTCACATCCATCTCCACTCTCTTCCCGCGGTCGTCCACAACGCACATACCCCTGGTCCACTGCCCACGCGTCTCGATCCTTACGTCCCTATCCTCCAGCGCTTCCCACCCACCGCGCTGCTGGGTGAGCACATAGTAGACACACAAAGGATCGTGCAGAGAGAGTCCAATGTTGCCAATGTTCTTGCCAGTGAAAATTCTCCTTAGAGTGGCGAAGGTTGCATCGACAAAGATTTCTGTCCATTGGGCTAGTGGGGATGGGGAAGGGCAGGTGAGGAGGGGGGCTATGGTGCTGGTGAAGGTTTCTTGGGTAAGGAGATGAGATGATGTTATATCTAGGGGAAATATAGTGAGATTCAGGCGGCGGGAGAGGATTTCCGGAATAGGTTTTAGCCCCTTAGCGGTGGTGGAAGGTGAGGGTGCAGTAGAGGAGGGGGTGGGAGAGGTCAGGGAGTAGATTCTAGCTGCGGAGTGCGGGCAGGTTACTGTGTTGAATTCAGCACAGGGTGTTACCTTGCTCCTCCCGTTAGTATGATATACGGTATCGGGGAAAGTGGGGAAATTACGTTTCCGGGAACGTCAATATTCCCGCCCATAACCACTACTTCCTTCACACGCAGAAATGTCTCCGGGTCCTCTTCTGCTGCCAGGGCCAGATTCGTCAGAGGGCCAACAGCAATAATGGTCACACTATCCACTGGATTGTCCCCGAGAATTCTCAGAATCTCTTTATGTGCCGGACTATTCGTAGGCCTGAAATTCGGCGGGTGCTCTTCATCCCCCTTTAGCACAGGCGTAGTAGCAAACATGTGCTTCCACGTCTGCTCCGGGGTAAAATGTGGCGCCTACCAGTGTTTCTCGCCGTTAGTTTACCCTAGATCAACCGAACTCACAGCATTGGGGAAACAAACAGTGGTATGAACCCCCTGTAGCCCATCCGCTCCATCTATTCCCATTCCCCATCCGTCAGCCAATTCACCAGCCCCACCACACGCGGGGGAACTGGGGAAAACGTACGAAAGTAATCCCCCCCAATAGCTTTATCCTCCTCCAACGGCCTGTCTGCTCCTACCGCAACAATGGGCTTATGGGCGCTCAGGCAGCCAAACCCAACCGACAGCCCATTCTCCAGCCTCCACTTCTGCTCCAGCTCGAGGACATGGAACATGGACACCAGGTTCATCAGGCAGTTCTCGACATTAGTGTTGCCGAAGGTCAGTGTTATTAGTAGGACCTTGAGTTCCTCCTCCGAGGCAGAGAGTGCAAGGAGGAGAGCGAGGATGTCATCGACGCTAGGGGGTGTTTATTGTAGTTAGCGGTGGACTGGTATTATATATGTGTGACAGGGCGCATACCCAGGGTCTGTATCTATGATGATTTGTTGGAGTGGCATTGTGTTTTTCTTGTTCTTGTTTTGAAGAGGAATTGAGAGGAGAAACAAAGGGGGTTTTGTAGCGGGAGGTCGCTTCAGGGGGGGGGGTTTTTTTCCCTCTTTCGCACAGATAGTCGAACGAGAGAAAGGCGGGGTCGTGGTTATCGACGCCTAATAGTGATATTTTTGAAATGCTTCCTACTTGAGAAAGGTGTGCGGTTAGTTGCTAGCGCACGATTGCTTTCCCATTTCTTTGAACCCTAATCCCTGGACCCCGGAGCGCTTCCACAAGTGTTCTCACCGTATCGTATCTAGCGGTACAGAGACTTTGCGATTTCGCATCCAGAGTCAAATTCTAGCGATCTCATTGGCCCGGGACCCTGTTTGACCCACATCCAGAGTCTTTTCGCAAAGTCCCTATTAGCCCCAGACTTTATCCTACTCATACGTTATCACCAGAATCACCAAGGCACCAAATTATTTTGTAGAGAAGTATATTACCCACTTTATTCAGTAAAGCTGCATGGGGCTCTGCGGTAGAAGCATGGACACATATCTGAATACCGGTACTGGTATCAGTTCGTGCCAACTTGTCGCCCCGCGGCCAGTGATCTCTCTACAACGCATTGCAACAACCCTCATCTGAAGTAATATCGCTCGAATTCTGTCCATCAAAAACGCACACAATAAGCTATCTAGAGCAGCCTTACATGGACGTAAATGAAATTTAGCCAACCATTTTTACCACAAACGAATTGTGTTATCGGTAAAAATACCAGCAAAACAGTCCCGAGTTTGCGAAAAGATGAGGACGATGGGGTGGGTAACAGGGGAAAGGGGATCGAGAAATTTGCAGCAAAACTGCAAGATAGGGCGTGGGGATAGGAGCGGTAGGGTAGGATAGGAAAAGAGAAACAAGAAATCCGCTAACAAAATAGATGGAAAAAAGACAAGAAGCCAACATTTAGAATTTTCGAAAAAAAAAAATCAAAGTCCCATGGCGTTTCTGCTGGATTTCTTTGTGTTGCCAATGAAGAAGTAAAGGCGAGATACAGGAAAATTGCTTTCAAAAGATAACAAGCGTCCCATCCACCAGATGCGTGTATATGTTTTGACTAAAACTTCACTCCCCCGGCGACACTCAAATTTGAACATTAAACGGAAAGAGAAAACACTATCACCAGAGTCCCTTTTCCATCTTATGCCATCTGAAACCTAGTACGCAACAGCCAAAGTTCACAACCGCTTTTTTTTTGTTTACCCATCGAAAATTTACTTGGTCTCCTCGGTCGGGGCTGATGCAGCCGGGGTCTCCTCTGGCTTAGTTTCAGCAACCTTGGCCTCCTCCTTCGCGGGTGCAGGCTCTTCGGTATCCCCGGATTCGCTGGAAGTCCAGAGGGTCAAGTTGTCACGGAGAAGCTGCATGATGAGGGTAGAGTCACGGTAGCTCTCCTCACTCAACGAGTCAAGTTCGGCGATGGCGTCGTCAAATGCCTGCTTGGCGAGGTGGCATGCGCGATCGGGCGAGTTGAGAATCTCGTAGTAGAAAACCGAGAAGTTCAAGGCGAGGCCGAGACGGATGGGGTGGGTGGGTGTGAGCTCAGTTTGCGCGACGTCGGTAGCGTTCTGTAAATATTGGTGAGCACGTGCTCATGTGCCACAGGAAAAAATAAATAAAAAATTGGTATTCGAGCGGATCAAAAGCGGGGGCGGGGTATCGGAGTACCTTGTAAGCCTCATGGGCGGCGGTCGCAGCATCTTTCCGCTTATCGCCAGAGGCGAACTCGGCAAGATAACGGTGGTAATCACCCTTCCTGTAATATAAGGCTTATGAGAGATTTTCCCACAAAAGCGAAAGAGTGATTTGTATGGAATAAGGCGTACATCTTGTGATAAAAAACTTTAGACTCGCCGGACTCGGCCTTAGGGATCAAAGACTCGTCCAAGACGTTGAGAACATCACCACAAACTTGCTCCAGCTCAGTCTCAATTTTCTGGCGATATTCGCGAATCTTCGTAACGTGCTTCTCAGAACCCTTGGTCTCCTCCTTCTGCTCAATACTAGAGATGATTCTCCACGAGGCACGACGGGTTCCGACAACGTTCTTATACGCGACCGAAAGCAGATTACGCTCATCAACGGTGAGTTCACCACCAAGCTGACAAAACCACCAGTTAGCGCCGGATTCAACTTTAAATCCATGGAGCCTATCGTTGTAGCGATAGACATGTCAGCTCTAGGGCTGTGTATACCTTAGCAACTTCCTGTAAAAATAAGAAGAAAAGCAAGTCAGCAAACTTTTCACATTGCTTGTTGCCGGTTTCCCCGCAGAAAGCGGGGTTGAAAGGGAGGAAATACCTTCATATAAGTAACCATTTCTAAAATTTAACAAGGATAAGAGTTAATAACCAACGTCATAGGTGCGGAGACGGCGAGGAACGCGGGGATAACCAACCATCATAACGCTCAGCCTGCTCGCACAATCTGGCGAGGAAGGTCTTGCTGCAGTGGGTGTTAGTACGGGACTAACAGTGGGGGGAACAGTTTTCTTGTAGGATGAAATCACCTCTCGCGCTGTAATCACGATAAAAGAAGCAATCATTAGCAATATTCTTCTTGGTGGAAAAGTGTTGATGATGACGGATATTAAGGGGAGGGGTTGGATGTTGTTTTGATGAGCAAGGAGGGGTCCTGCAGGGAACGAAAAGTAGAGGTTGAGAACAGTTGCTGGCACATACCTCGGTAGTCATGTTTTGATGGAGTTTAGATGTTTGTGTATTTAGTTGAGGATTAAACGCAAGTTAAAGGATGAGGGGGGGGGGAGTTGTTGCTGATGTAGCTGAGGATGCGGAGGTGTAAAGGGTTTTCTAGTGGGGGTGATTGTTGTGGTAGTGGTGGTGGTGGTGGAAGAAGGATGGAACGAGCTTTGTGCTGTGAAAGGGAAGTGGAAAGAAAGAATTCAGGGTTGGAGGGATGGATGGATGGATGGATGGGGAAGAGAGAGAGGAGATGGGATGTGGATGGAATCAGAAAGAAAGCGGGCAGGGCAGCAGGAGTATGATAGATAAGTGGAAGAGGAAGAGGGCGCCAGAGAGGACATTGGCTGTGTGTGGCTCGGCAGCAACAGCGATAGCAACGCAGTCAAAGAAACAAACCCTGGGCGGAGGAAAGGAAAACGAACGTGAAGAAAGTTTCACAAGCTTCGCTCGCCCTTCTTGTCAAGTTCTCCCTTCTTCCCCTTCCCCCCCCCCCTCTCCCGTTTTCCCTTCTCCTTGCCCTTCTTCCCGTTAGGCTTTCCAGCTTATCATAAGAGTAGCAAGAGGTGAAAAGCGAGAAAAAAGTAAATAAAAACAATAGATCGAGAGGGCAGTACGAGTAGAAAAAGAAACATTTCACACCCTTCCTAACAGGCTCGCCTCACCTCAACTCACCTCACATCCTCCGCCCCCAAGAGGGAAATGTTCCCAGCATCCATCAAAGCATCCAAGTCAAGTTCAATCTTCTGTTCATCTCCTCAATCCTTATCCATCAGCTTCCCCATTCCTATTGTCGTCATCATCGTGCAGTTAAAGACGTCATCCCTCCGGGATTCCAGCGAATCCGCACAAACAGTTTCGGGTATGCCATCTCTTAGCTCCCCTCTTGGTTGCGGACATTCTATCATTTGCTCCGCCTCTTCCCCCTCCTGCAGTACTTCTGTCCCTGCATTCTGAGCGTACGAAGCAAGCGAAGGAGCAATCAGTTTCCCTCCACGAGTGCTGGCGTTGCTACGGTACTGGGAATACGACGAGTTACAAGTGAGCCGCAATAATCTACAGTACAGTGCTGTACTGTACTCGAGCAGTGGGGGAAGACACTCTCACGAAATACCTCCCCTCGCCTTTGCTACTGGTGCGCAGTGCAGTGTGCGGCACCGGTGCGAGTGTTTTGTTTTTGTTTTTGTTTTTTTCCCGTGTCCTTGGTGACGAGTATGTTTTTATATATATAATCATATATATATCTCGCATGAATCCCGCCGTCTTTGAGCACATAAACACGCGAAGCGAGATAGCATAGACGGGCTCCGGATCACAGCCCACACGTGGCCCCTCGTCCCGTAGTTACCGTGCCTGCACAGTAACTTACAGCACAGTACAGTACGGTAAAGAGCAGCATATTCCGCATTTCGTGGTTCGAAATTCATTCCTTTGTCGGTTTCTGGAAGCCGATATGTCGCCAGATCCCGATTACGGCACGTGCGTCAATCACGGTCGGCGCCAGTACCGTTTTGGCTGCGGGTAGAATTCCCTTCGGATTACGGTGAAGGGGAGAAAAAAAGAAAGGAGGAAGAATTATCTGGAGGCGAGAAGAAAGGGAAAAAAAGAAAATTTGTCAAGACATAAATTCAGAATCTCGCTCTCAACTGGAAGCGTTGCAGTTTGCAGACAATCTTCAGCCTTGAACGAGCCCCCAAAAATAGAAACCCAGAGCTGCTCTCTTTTCCGTTTCGTTTGCGTCCGAGGATGGAAAAATGAAATAAAATAGGTAGGGTACAGAAAAGCTCACAACTACTCGATACAGATGCTGCGCCCAAAGCTTTGTGAAACCGGAAACAGATGACTCCAAAATGAAAGGGGAGGGAAAATATCATAAGATGATTTGGAATCCAATGGAAATGATAAATGAACGTTATCTCCCCCCCACCATCTCCGATCATCAATCGGCCCCCGCTTTGCTCTGCCTCGCTACCCCCCTCAGTTCTGCCTGAGTCCAAGGGTGTTTGACTGGCCCCTTTCATATTGTACAAAACCACCACCCACCACTCCGACGACCAGCAACCGCAACACCCTGGGATCTAACATTTTTCTCGGCGCAACCCTAGTCCCGGGCGAAGGGCACCCCTCCCCCAACCCAATCCCAAGTCGAAAATATCGCCATTACTTGTATGATACAAAAAAAAAATGCCACCAACGACCGTGAACTCCGCTTTTCGTTCAGAACCGGGCATTTGTACATCGTGAAGTAGTACCCGACTACTCAGTGTGTTTTGTTTTTTTTACCGTCAAGAAAAATAAAAGGGGGAGAAGAAAGAAAGAAAGAAAGAAAGAAAGAAAGCCGAATCCCGCTTTTTTGTCTCAGATTTGTGCTCCGTTGTGAATTTTTTTGTTTGTTTGTTCCTAGCCGGTCGTTTCATCGTTACTTCGTTTCAGGGAAAGGAAGCGAGAGTTGTTGGTTGAGGAAAGGTGGGAATAAAGGGAATAAGAAAAAGAAACGGAGAGGATCCAGTTCAGGGTTGAGTGAGAAGAAAATATGTGCGTTATTGGTTGTGTATTGCTAGTCCATGTAAAAATCACCCTTGAGCATCCTTTCTTGAAGCGGGTCATGGGCATCCTTGGGCGAGATAGCATTGACTGGCGGCGGCATGACCGAGATGGATTGACGGCGCTGAGCGGGAGCCTCGTCCCTGTCAGCGCCTTGGGATTGAGATCCGGACCTTCCATCCAACCAGAAACCTGCAATTGTGATACATAAGTCAGCACAAGCCCTCCATCTATCGAGTATGATACTCTTAATCTAACCGGAATACGGGGAGGGGAGAATGGATGCTAACCTCTGGACACCGTCGGGGATGCCGCCCCCGCACTTACGGGGAAACTCCCCGGGTTTCTACCTTGCGGGATCCGAACATCCCTGAGAGCCCTCGCTCCAAAGCTAAGCCTTCTGGCGAACGGACCGCCACCCAGGCTGGACGGGCTGCCCGCATTGACCTCACCCTCTTCGATGGCACTCTCGTCCACGGCAGAGGATGCCGACGAGACCGAAGAGATTGACCCCCTTCGCATAGACATGTTTGTTTGGACCCGTGGGGGAGAGGTTCCAGAGGCATTGGTCATACTCATCCTTCGCCGGTTTGCCTGGGCTGCAGCTGAAGTGATAGGGCCTGGGTAGGGGGCGGTCGTGGGAACTCGACTCGTGAAGAAGTCGGTCAAGGTTCCTGGACCCATAGAGCTACGGCGGGCGTGGGTATAACTTGCGGGCTGGCCGTTGGCCGCCTGTTCGGAGGTACGAGCAGAGGACATTGTGATTTATTGGTGGAAGGGAATGTAGGTAATAATAGGAGAGTTAAAAGTATGTAGAAAAGTATTGGTTTTGGGTCTTGTCTGGGACTCCTAAAGCACGAACGACGAAGATAGAGAAGGAAGAATAGGGAGAAGCAGGCTTTATAAGGTCGTTGCTTCACACACTTGCCCCAGCCCGTTGATCGGGGAGAGATGGAGAGAAGAATATGAAGTGAGAGAATGAATGGGGTAGGGTGATAATGGTACGATCAGGCTGCTCTCTCGAGGACCTACTTAGAGGGAACGGTTGTCCAGAATTAAATATATACGTATGCCGGTTGGGTGCAGAAATCGCGAGATTCTAGTTTCAGAAGGGCGGAGTGGTAGAAGGAATGGGCTCTCTACAGACATGAAAGGAATGGGGGAGGGGTTCGGGGGGTTTTGTATCTCTCACCCTGAGAACGGGCACGGGCATTATTATTCAGTGAGGGGTGTGGTGTGCTCGTGTATTTTCCCCTATGATATCCACCCACACAATTCTCACATCGCAACTAACCTCCACCACCACCACCATTATCATAATAGCGGGGGGTGAAGGGGGGGGGAGGAAGGGGGCAAAACAGGTAGTTCCAGCGGCTTTGCCCCCTGTGAATACCGGTAGGGTGGAAGAAAAAGCACGGGGGAATAGCGGAATGGGTGGCCGTGTTGATCTAGCGGGAGGCCAAGTTGTCCTCGAAAACAGCCAATGGACGGCAATCAGGGTGGAGGAATGGGCCACTGTCGGAAGCAAAGCAGGGCAACGAACTTTTAGATAGTCAGCAAAAGAATAAAATGAGATTCTGGGGAACAAGTAAAAAAGGAAAAGAAAAAAAAAAAAAAGGTGTGGAAGCCGGCATCTTGGGGCGCCCGTGCTATCCCTTCGTTCGTTTTCGCGCCCACCTTTTCATTCCCAAATATTGATAAAAAAGGTTTAGTTCAACCGGGTAACATTGATCAAGTGCGAACTGGGGAGGGTGGGCACTTAAGGTGGCAATACGGGTAATCTGATCAGGAATAACAACACCGTGCAAAGAGTCCCTCTGAGTGGTTACCAACCCACGGCCACCTACCGGTCCACCTGACAAGAACGAAATTTCCAACTCAGGAGTCTCACAATTCTCCTGATCCGTCAACCTATACAGGAGGAACGACCAAAAGATGGAAAGCACGAGGAATGCCCCCTGAGAGAATTGGATGAGGTCAGTAGAAGTAAGTCTCTATTCTCTAATCCTCCACCCCTCTACTTCCGAGTACCTATTCCAAGCTGACCGGCCAAGATTATGAAGGAACCCATGTACTATCCCAGTACAACTACAGCTTCTGGAGTTTTTTTTTTTCGTTCTTCCTCCTACGTTCAGCTTCTATCCCTCAGGTGTAAGGTGAATAACTACCGGTAACTATGATCTCCTCCTACTTCAATCTCTTATTATATTGCCGAAAGCTAATTGGTAGCTGGTTGTTGTATAAGATTCTATCCTTGATTACGGCATTGAGCTACTCGGGTATAAGGGTTAGTGATGGGATAGACTGGAGTTGGCGATGTCAAAGCCTTTTACCCCTTCTAGCATCATACCTTTCGAATTAAATCATTTTTTTCCTCTCACGGTCATAAGCGCGGGGACCTTAAATCGATATCCGTCCTATCATTGACATACACCCCTGAGTATTTCGTTTAATATCTGTTGCGAAATATTCAGTATGACGACTCGGAGCGAAGTTGATAATTTTTCAGATGATGGAGAGGTGGAGTATGAAATACCGGGAGAGGGAGAGAGAGGAAGTGAGTTTGATAGGATGTTGGATTGGGATACGGTAGGAGGAGCAGTGGGGGAAGGAATCAACATGCGAGATGATGAAAACAACGATTTGGTCTGGTTAGGTGACAGTGGTACAGATACAAATTGTCATAATAATTCAGATGAAGGTCGAGAGGCTGTGGAGGATGAGAATGAAGATGAAGATGAAGATGAAGATGAGGAGACGAGCATGAATTGCGAGCCACTTCCTAGGATTGATCCATCAGAGTTACATTTACCTGCTCCACCACAGTTTGAACCAGTCTCCCATCCAGCACTACCGCATACAAGAAAGATATCTCTTCCACTCGATGTTTTCTCAGCAGGACTTTGTTTAGAAAATATGGAAGGTATCTCTATACAGCCAGAGGACCCGAGAGTGGAAAGACAGGAAGGGATATTGGCAGGTGGTAGTAGTCAACAAGAGCATGAAGGAATAGGAAGAGATAATCAAGAGCAATGGGGTATTGGGTGGGACACACCAGGTCGATTTTTTAAGCTTTTCTTTACCGATAGCATTCTGGAAGCTATGCGGCAAAATACCAATAGTTATGCTACAATGAAAGGTGCTGGAATGCCCGGTCATCGAAGATGGAAGGAAATGACTATTTCGGAGTTGAAGATCTTTCTCGGCTTGGTAATTTATATGGGAGTTTTCAAGAGTGCAAGAGTGCAAGACTATTGGCGAAATGATGGTGCCTTTCCTCAACATAATATTGCACGCTTTATGGGACATTTTCGATTTGAGCAACTGAAGCGCTACTTTCATATTTCTCCGCCGATTTCAACTCCACTTCCTCGAACTCAATGGACAGAAAAATTAGAACCACTGAGTAGTAGCCTTCAGACGAAATTTCAGCAGCTGTGTTGTCCGGCTACATCGGTATCAATCGATGAAATGATGATTAGGTTTACCGGTCGTTCTGAGCATAAGTCTCTTATTAAATCGAAACCAACACCGGAGGGGTTTAAGATTATTGCCTTATGTGACAAAGGCTATACATTCTCATTTCTCTATACCTCTCGTACCCAATCTTTTACTGGCTTGACATATCCTTCACAATTTCAGGAATGTACTCATTCAGGTATATAATCTTGTAATTCAACTACGAGTTATTTAAAATTATATCTAATTTCACTATACTAGGTTCCGAGTCGGATAATTCCACCAGCTATCAGCAGACTATTTCCCTTCGACCAACCTCACGAGCAGTAATTCAACTTTGTCTTACTTTACCCTATAGAACCCATCGATATATTCTCTATTGCGACAACTATTTCTCGAATATTCCTCTCTTTCATATTTTGCGATCCTATGGTATTGGTGCCTGTGGAACTGCCCGTCCTCACTCTGCTGAGTATCCTTCTGTTTTCAAGCTAAAAAAACAAGCATCTCAGTTACCATGGAATACTATTTCTGCAGTAGTTGTTAGGGATGTACTAGCTGTTTTATGGCAGGATAAAACACTAGTACGATTTTTAACTACTGCTTTTGGTGCAGACCCAGCCTTGCCCCAAAATATTGAAATGCGCCGTAGAAGGCGCCCGCATATCACTTCAGCGAATAGGGATCTAATTGAGGGTGGCTGGCCAACAGATCCAGTTACTGGTATTGCTCCTACCTCAAGAGTACTTCCCCTTCCTGTCTTATCTACGCAATATAATTTACATATGGGTGGTGTTGATATTGCGGATCAGAGAAGAAGTTACTACTGTATTCAGTTTTCTTGTGTCCGCTATTGGCTCTCTCTCTTCTTTTGGCTTATTGATACTACTGTCGTTAATTCCCACCTTCTCGCACAAGAAGCATTTCCAAATACTCGGATGAAGTTTATTAAAGAGCATCGTGACTTTCGTGTTCGTTTGGCATGGAATTTGGTTCTTGAGGGTGCAAGAGATAAGGACAAAAATTGGACTGAATCTCTTTGCAATACTCAGCAGCCACGACGCAAAGGAGGACAGTTTAATCCCTGCTCGGTTCCAGCTGGCAATTGTCATTTGGCCCGCAGCAAGGGATATGTCTCCAAATATTCGGAACTTCCAACCTTTCGAATGATTCAGGGAAATCATCAATTGGTTAGAACCGAACCTCTTACTCGGCGTCTCTGCTTTTTCTGCCGCTTTATTGAGCAACAAAAGCAAAGTCCTTCCC